AGAGAGCATGCAGAAGGACAAGTGGTAACGGGGGGACTGGTGGTGTCTCCGAGTTCCAGCCTTTAGGGAGATGGCCAGGAACAGAAGGTAAAATAGAGGACATCTGCCTGGAATTTGCCTGCCCTCGGCTCAAGGGGGTCAAAGGTCAAGGGGGGACAAGGGGGACTTCCTGAAGCTCTCAGGGGAGTGCCAGCCAGCCAGGCTGTTGTGCAAGCTCTGGGCTGGACCCCTAGGGCAGGCTGGCAGAGGGGCCAGGGCTGCTCAGTGGCCAGAGTGAGGTCTGTTCAGCCCCTTCAGCCTGTCCTATTAGCCATCTGAATTTGGGATGCAGGAAAGCAGGGCCACGTCCCCAAGGGAGCACTCCACCCACCTCAGTGGCTATGTTCCCATCCAGAGTCCCTGTTCCCTGAAGTCACCACTCTGCCAAAACCCAGAAAACTCTTCTTCAATAATCCTCTTCCTCCAATTCCACTCTGATTCCTGGAGAGGTGAGAGGGTTTGTGAGCCAAGAGCTGCTGTGGTGCTTACAAGGGTGCAGGCCTGGAGGGTGAGGTTCAGGGTTAGGGAAGAGAAACCAGTGGCCTGGGCTCAGTTTCCAAATGTACTGTGTGGTTCTTGGTGAAGCTATTTATGAGTGCTCCACAAGGTCTGCTGTTTATTCCCACTAGAAGCTGAGGTTCTGTGGGGCATGGTTAGCCTGGTGGTGATGGCTGATACAGGAAAGGGCAAAGATCTGCCTTTGGTCTTTCCAGAGTCAGCTCTGCCATCTTGGCTGAAGGTGGAAAACGAGCATCAGGAAGGGCCCCTAGGACAAGTTTACCCCACCATGAGGATGGGATCACTCCCAGTTGCTGCCAAATCTCATGGAGAAGGGACAGGCTCCAACTTCTCTTAGATTCAGTGTCTGTGAAAATGTGGCAGACGTGGCAGCTGCGTGGTTTCCAAATGGGGTTCCCAGGCACCCTGGCATCCCATAGAGATTGGGGTGGGGAGGAAGAGACAAGCTGATGAACAGGGCTGGGTGTAGCCCATTCAGCCTAGCTTTCACCAGATATGCTCAGCATATTAAATCCAAGGTGGGACATCTAAGAAAGTTTCTATTTGAACAGGGTGCCACAACATTCCATGGTCTCTGAGATCTCTGCAGCTCTGGCCATCTGGGAGCCCGGAGCAGTTCAGGTCCTGGGTTGAGGAAAAAAGCTAGAGGATCTGGTGAGGGAAGTGGGGTGGCTTATGTCTGGACTCTGGCCTTCTGGAGAAGCAAGGGAAGAAGCAGGTTGTGCTTTAGGGCTGTGAGACTGGGCCACAGCAGGGAGGGTGAGCTGCAAAGATATATAGCACCTGCCTCTGCACCTGGGAAACACAAACAGAACTTTGGCCACAGCAGCCTGGGAACGAAGAACAGTACCCATCCTCCTGGGGCCAGACAAATGCTCCTTTCCCTGTTTTCTAACCCATCTTGCCCTCATGACATCAGCTTCTAGTTGCCAGCAGGAGCTGGAGGCAGGACCATCACAAGTTTGAGCCCAGCCTGGGCAACTTAAAAACTTAATAACCTTGTAAATAAAATTTGTAAAAAGGGGGTGGGGACTGGGATACAGCTCAGTACAAAGGCTTTGGTTTCAACCCCTAACACGGCTTAAAAAAATTACTTCAGGACCAGGGATTTAGCTCATCTGGCACCTCATCTGCCTTGCAAGTGCAAGGTCCTGAGTTTGATCCCCGGTACCCTCTCCCCAAAAAAAGCAAACAAAAAAAAATTACTTCAAAGGCAGAGCTGCCCTGGGAAGAAAAAAGCACCAATCCTGAGCATTCAGAGCCAGGGACCAATCCCCTTGTAAGGAAAACTCTACTTTGTCTCCCTTTTTTGGTACCAGGGATCGAACTCATGACCTTGTGCTTGCAAGGCAGGCACTGGAACCACTGAGGTAAATCCCCGGCCCCCTTTGTGCCCCTTTATTGGCCAATGTAGGCCAAAATTTGCTACTCTGCCTTAGTTTTCCTTTTTGGAACATGGTCATGAGATGCTGTCCTGGATAGCATCACCTCCATCCTCCAGGTGAAGGGTTGCCCAAGCCAAGCACTGAACTACCCAGCATACTCCTTCTATCCCTCTGTCCCCCAAGACTGACCACCATTCACCCTCAACCTGCTGCAGGGCCCAGCCTCGCCCCACATAAGCAAAGCTGCCAGCAGGGTCCTTTGTGGTGCTGGTCCCGTGTGGCACTGCCTAGGGGCCCCACCACGGGGCAACAGATGGACCTATGGTCTCTACAGAACAATAGTGGGGGAGGGGCCTTGGCATTGCCCTCCCCAAACAGGAAGCATTGCATGAGCTTCAAAGGACTGGCAGGGCCAAGGGGCCAAGTGGTGGAGCCAGTGCCAGGACTGGCGGCTGCCTGAAGAGCTGCCTGCCAGTCCTGATGCCCAGCCTGGTGGTGGGGGTTCGGTTGAGGTGGCCAGGGCAGCTGGAGCACGGGCAGAGGGTGCCTTGCATGCTCACAGCTACAGCTTCTGGGCTGGAAAGTTTGGGGAAAGGTGGCTTGGATGCTGGGCTGTTTCAGTTTGGATGCCACTGGCCAGCAAGGCTGCAGGTTCCCTCCCAGGCCACAGTCCACCAGGCCCTCCAGCAAGCAACAAGAGGGGCCCGGCTGGCACCAAGCCTGCCGCCCACTCCCTGCCTCCTGCTCCCAGCTGCTCTGCTCAGAGCCTTTTCCTTTCCACTTCCTGTTCACACGGGGGGGCGGGAAGTGGAGGGAGGAAGCTGGGGGGAGTCGTGTAGGGGGACCCATTGAATAAAAGGAATTAACTGTTTCCCTCCTCTGACCTCTGGGAATTTCCGCCTGTGAAAGTGTCTCGAAGAATCGATAGAGCCAGGGGACGGAGATGCGCGCCCCCTCGGAGCCTCTCCCCCGCCCGCTGGTGCTGGGCCCGATAACTCCCTCTGGGTCCCTAACCTTTTGTTTCCCTGGCGCCAAGTACGGCCTCGGGGCCCCTCCAACCAAGGCGAGGGGTGCCAGGTCCTGGCCTGCGCCCCGAGCCTTGGGGGGGAAGGGCAAGAACCCGAGAGCGGTGGTCCCGAGGGAAATGAGCTCACACCCAGGCTGCCAGGCTGAGCCTCGAGCCCTGTCAGGACTGGTGCCCTTGGCCACTCGGCGGCGGGGGTGGGGGGGCACTCCAGGCAGGCACACCCTCCGGCGGCCACTCCCCCAGCAGCAAAGGTTCTGGACGCCAGTAGACAGCGCCCCCTTGTGCCCGTGGCCGACTGGGCAGGGCGGCCCCCCGGGCCCTCTCAAGGGCGGGACTCAGGAAGCACCTGCTCCCCAGGACCAGTGGCCGCCCAGCATCTCCCCCAGGTGGCTTCCTTGTTTACAGACCTCCTGCCCTGGCCCCGGCGTCACTGCTTGTGGCCACGCCTCCTGTTTCCAGTGACCGCTCCGGGAGCAGCTCATTCATCTTGGCCTCTGCCCACGCAGCTGCTCCCCTCCGCTCTGACCCTCCCCCAGGCTGAAGGCCAAAGCCCCGAAGTCTTCTGCTGTCCTTTCCAGACCTTGCTTGGTTTCCAGGGATCTAAAAGCTGTGGCTTCCCGTTGCCCTGACTCACCGGAACCCCATTCTGTCAGTGCCAGAGAAGCCTGGGGCCTTTTCCCAGGAAAGAGGAAGCAGCCTAGGACCAGATGGGCTGGCTCAGAAGCAAAAAGGGGAAGGGGCATCCGAGGCTGCTTTGGCCAAGCCCTCTGGGAGCAGGGAGCAATAGAGCAGCATTTGTCTAACATGTATTAGGCACCCATTATGTGTAAAGAGAAGCCCTGAGCTGTTTTAGCTAAGCCGACAACCACACAACTGATAGACCAAGGTTTTATACCAGTACTGACTGGGGGCGAGACCCCCGAACCCTCCAAGTTATATCTAGGTGTCTTAGGCCAAATGGAAAGAGAAAGGGAGCAGGGGTCCCAAACCCTGCAACAGCAGAGATTAGGATGCTCTACCCACCCATGGGACCCCTCTCCTCCATTTGCTCCTTCTCTTGCCCCAGGGGAAAGAGGGGAGTCAGGGCAGCCAGGCAGCTTTTAACCTAGGTTGGCAGAAGCTGTGAAGAGATCCTGTTGTTCTAGGGAATTCGGCAGGGAAAGACCCAACCAGGACTATAGAAGATAACATTTCTAGCAGAAGATTAAGTTGGGGGAAGAGACGGGGATATTTATTAACCAGGTGAGCCTGACCCCAGCCTGATTAAAGGAACTTTTTTTTCCCCCCAGTCTGGGCCAGCTGGTAAATCACACCCATCAGGCTGCGCAGTGCACCATGAACACCTGTCAGGGCAAAGGGTATGTGGCTGCTGTCATGGGAGGCCCCACTCCAGGGCTCCCGAGGACTCAGCTCCAGAGCCAACTATAGGAGTGTAATCTGAGGGGAGGAGCAGGTCATGGGAGCAAGGTGAGAAAACAAATCTGCCAAATGGCATGAATAGAGGCAATAGCCACAGCAAAGCCAGGTAAAGCCAGGAAGGCTGAGATACAAGTTGGCAGAGGGTCAAGCAAAATCTAGCACTTGTAAGGGCCAGTGGAAGGAAGAATGAGGTGCTCAGAATCTTGGCTAGGCAGCAGACATCCAGAAAATTCTTGGGACAACCAGGGAGGGAAAAGCTGAGGAGGCACAAGTAAGAGTGACCTAAGCCAGGGATTTAGCTCACTGGTTCTGCCACCGGACTTGCAAGCGAAGCACAAGGTCCCGAGTTGGATCTCTCGTACCAAAAAAAAAAAAAAAAAAAGACCTGAGAAATTCTGTGGGCAGTAGCACCACCTGCAGGCTGGAGGAGGTACAACCCCTGCCCTGGATTCAGGATGGCGGCTGGAAGTGAGCAGAATCCAGCAAGCTCATCCTGTCTCAGGTGACAGGCTGGGTGCCAAAGCTGGAAGACCTCAGCCCCTTGGGGCACCTACCCCTCCTAGAGATCACTCAGCCCCCTGCTCAACCCGGCACCAGTGTCAAGCCATCAATTTCAGAGCTGCCAGCACAGCAATTAATTTAATGCTCCCCATCGATCACTATTCCCACTGTCCCCAGGAGGCCCTCAGCCCCAGGGACTCCTCACACCTGAACCCTGGAGGGCCCAGGCCTGGGAGGGCTGCCTTTCCGCTTCCAGGATGCACAGGGCAGAGGAGACAGCTTCCCCTGGGAAGAAGAGGTAGGTCCAGTGGCCACAGAATGGAGGATACTCTCAGTCCAAAAGGTGAGGGTGGGAAGTGACAAGGACAAAGGAGCTGTTAGACACAGGGGTAGGAATGGGCTGAAGGCCTGGGGGACAGCAGTCTAAGGCAGGTCTGAAGCACAGCAGGAGGCTGGCAGAATGACTCCCACTTGCACTGGGCACACACTGCTTCAAGACTGAGCACAGACCAGGTGTGGCCTTTCCAGAGTGGCACAAGCAGCTGCTCCCCTTGCCTGTGCACTTGAGGACATCCTCCTACAGCCAGCTGAGGTACTCCTCCTTGTAGTGCTGGGGGTCAATGAAGGGCCGGTCAATGGAGCGGATCATCAGCTCCCCACAGTACACGCACTCAGCAGCCACCAGTTCATCTAGGTCAGCCTTGAGCTGTTCCCGGCTGGGCCCCCCAGTAGCAGCTCCACCTTCAGCCTCTTTGGCCCGGGCAGAGCCCTTGACTGGGGGCGGTGCAGCCCCCAGCTTTCGTTGCAGTTCCTCAAGCCGGGCCTGTTTATAGGCAGGCAGGCCAGGCCGCACAGCCTGCAGCAGGCAGTCAGCATGGAACATGTGGCCACAGAGGAAGAGGTAAAAAGGGCGGTTGAGCAGGGGGAAGTCACAGGTAGCACATTTGTCCTGAGGTTCCACAGTGCCATAGCGGCCTCGAAGCTCCTGCAAATCGCGCCGGATGCGCTGGGCACTGGCTGTGGCCTCTTCCATCTCCCGCTGCAGCTCCTGAATGTGCTGGTTATAGGCCTTAAGTGAGCTGCAGATTGCCTCCTTGAAATGGTCGATCGTGACAAAATCAGGGAAGAAAGGCAGCACATCCTCAATCTTGAGCAAGGGACAGCTGGCCAGGCAGGCCATGGCTGTCTGCACATCTTCCTCTTCCTGTACTACATGTCGAGCGATCTTGAGCCACAGTTTCTTGCGCAGTTCCTCATCTTCTTCAGGCAAGTCTGCACACTGCTTAGCCAGGTCCACGTCCACCTGTGGGGAACCCATGGGAGTCAGAGTCAAGCCCCTCCCCACCTCAGACTGAGACTAGGGGACAGACACCTTCGGGGACAACCTGGGCCGAAGGAGAGGGCCCAGGCAGGATTCATAGCACTCTAGGGAGGAGGGTCAAGGCAGAAGCTGTGTCAGGAATGGGCCTGTCCCTGTCACAGCTATGGAAAAGCTACTATGTGGCAAGGTTCCAACTTTAGTGAATTTAAAAATCACCTTGGAACATATTCAAAATATTTTTTTGAGGGGGTCACTACTTGGGGTCACTGCCAGGGCCTCCTGCATGCCAGACAAGCACTCTCCCACTAAGCTACATCTCCAGCCCCAAAATACAGATATTTGAGTCCTGCCCTCAGACATTCTGCTTCAGTAAATCCTGATTGGTAAGTCTTGAGTTCAGGCGGAGGAATCTGCATGTTAACTAGCATTTCCTGTGATTGTAAGGTAGAGGACATTTCATAATTTGAGAAATGTAATTCTGCACATTTCCGGTCTTCTAATATGTATATACCGGCCACTGTACTGCGTGCTTTTCTTATATAATACTAATCAACCCTATGAGGTAAAAAATATTCTAACATTACCCCCATTTTAAAGCCAAATAAGCTAGGCCTGCAGGCTCATGCCTGTAATCCCCCCAGCATTTGGGAGGCTGAGGCAGGAGGATCACTGTGAGCTTGAGGCCACTCTGGGCTATACAGTGATTTCAAGGCCAGGCTGAACTACATAGGGAGATCCTGTCTCAACCCCTGCCCCCCAAAAAAGCCAAATAATCTGAGACATAGCAAAGTTCAGAAAGTAGTCCGAGGTCACAAACTCAGTTAAGCGGCAGGGCCAGAATACAGCCCTGACTTCCAAGTCTGTATCCTTAACCTCTACATTATAGTACCTGCAAGAGAAGTCAGCACCCTTTACCTTTGCCCTGCTTCCTCCCAACCCTTCAGTCTCTCAAGCTACTGCTCTCCAGGTCCCTCTGCTGGCAGGGGTGAGGCCTTACCTGCAGAGCCAAGTCCACAGCCTCCTCATACAGCTCCAGTACCTTGTAGACATGGACACAAGCACGGTGGTGGCCGTGCTCAGCGCAGAGCCGGAGTGCATACTTGAGGTCATAATGCACATGATTCGGGCTGGCACCAGCCTGCTCTAGGTAGGCCAGCAGAGAGGCTGGTTGGCCACGGGCATACAGTGACAGCAGGTAGTTGTGAATGGCCTGCTCAGTCTCCCCAAGCACATTCACACAGAACTCCATGTAGCGGATGGCCTGGCTCACCTGCTGGGCCTCACCTCCCTGGCTATAGTTCACCAGGGCAGGGATGAGTTGCCGGGCATCCAGCCGGCTGCCCATCTCAATCCAGGCATCTACCAGCTGGCGGGGGATGTGACGGATGAGGATGGGTGAGAACTTATAGAAGAGCTGGGGGTCACGGTGGCGGCCAAGCACAGCCAAGGCCTCCTCATAGGCCTCATGCTGGCAGTGGTATGCCACCACCCGTTCATAGTCCTGCATGATCACGGCAAAGTACACCATGTGCTCCGTGTCCCCATGACTGGCAAGCAGCTCATGGATAGAGCCTCGACTGGCAAAGAGCCACTCCTTGTGGCGAGGGCTGCTGAGAAAGGTGCGGAAGCGCTCCCGTGTCTCCCGGTAGACATTCAGGGCCTCTGGGTCACCCTGCAGAGCCCCAAGCCGGCTCAGATAGAGTTCTGTCAGCCAGGTGGTCAGCAGCGTGGCCTGGGTACGCTCACCTGGCTTTAAACTACCTAGTTTTCGCTGCAGGAACTCAGCCAGAGCCTCCTCCTGCCGGGCCTCCAAGAACTTCAGGGCGATCTCCTCAAAGTAGCTCTGGGTCTGAGCATAGCAGTGGGCACTTTCCAGGTATCGACGCTGACGGAAGCAGAAATCAGCCTCCCGGGCCAGCACTGTGTCCAGGCAGTCAGGCCGCTCCCGACAATACTCCTTGGCCAAGTCGAAGCGGTTCATGTCCAGGTAGGTGCGCCAGACATCCCGGGCCTCACGCTGCACGTGGTAGCGGAACACAGCTCTCTCAGTGTAGGCCCACAGCTGGCCTGTGGAGGAGTCCTTCACCATGTGTTTGAGTGGCCCAAACTTCTCCAGGAAGTGATCCCGTAGCACCACTTGCCCTGTCAGAGTGCACACAGCCTCCACCCGGTCGGCCAGCAACAGGAGGAAGTGGAACTGGGTCAAGACGATGGCTAGGGGTGGGCTGGCCCCAGGCCCTACTCCCTCTGGGTACTCCCAGACTCTCTCTTCGCTCAGGAGGGAGTCAGGACGGCCACAGTCTAATGAACCATACAACACTCCATCCCCCATCATCCAGGCAAAGGCCCGGGGAGCAGAACGAAGCTTGGGTACATAGAAAGCCAACTCACTGTAGCCTAGGTTGCTGGGAAACTCACGGAATGGGGGTGGATGGTCTGTGTAGGCAGCAAAGAGCCCTGAGAAGCCCTGGGCCTCAGCCCCCTCTGCTGCTGCTCGGCCTATGAACTGGAAGAGGCGCTGGCGAGTAGTGGCAATAACAAAGCCACGCCCATCGGGGCCCCGCTCCACCTCCAGGGAGCACACAGGTGCTGAACCCCCTTCTTCATTCAGCACGTACAATGGACGGAAGTAGAGATCTGGGGCAGGGCCAAAAAGTCCACCCTCACTGGCTGAGAGCTCTGCTTCAAAGATCTGGCCTTGGGCAGTTCCAACCAGAATGGGGCCCGTACTGTTCTCGGTGCCCAGTGCCTTGTTCCAGCCCACACTCTCCACCAACTGACCCTTCCAGCGAGCTAGCGGCCGTGCCTTCTGTCCATTACGGTTCATGTAAAGGACCTCAGTGCTGCTCAGAGCAATCAGCAGATGAGAGCCTACAGTGGGCAGAAGAATACCGCACCTGAGTGGAAGCTGCTATTCCCACCCTCAACCCTCCTCCCACCCCTTCCCCATCAGATCACGCTCACCCAGGCAGAGACACAGCCCCTCCCGAAACCTTCACCACCAAATTACCGGTAGGGTCCAGGAACATCTTGTGCACTTTGGAATCATCCTTTCGCCCCAGCTCCACATGGTTGGGTTCGTTGGCCTTGCCCAAGTCGATGCTGTAGGGACAAGAGTCACGGGGTCATTGTAGAGAAGGGCAGACCCTTTTCTAGATCACCGACCTCTTTAATCTGATAAAAGCCATAATCTCCCTTCCCTTGAATCTACATATATACAGAAAATTCTGACTGTAATTCCAAAAGAAGCCTGGAATCTGTACAGGGTCCTACTTACCCTCAGCTAGCCAGGCATGATGGTGCACCCTCGCAGTCCCAGCATTCTTTGGGACTGAGGCAGGAGGATGGCAAGTTTTAGCTCAGCCTCTGGGCAATTTAGTGATTTAGCAAGACCCTGTCTCAAACTTTAAAAAAAAGTAGGAAGAGAGGAAAGGGATGTAGCTCTGTGCAAAGGCCCTGGGCTCCGTCCCAAGTATCACAAAACAAAAAAACCATCAGCTGAGAACTCCCTCATCTCATTCTAAGAAGTCACTAAGGAGAAGCCTTTCCCTTGTGCTCAAAAGATTACCAGTGCAGGGGCTGGGGATTTAGCTTAGTGGTTTCGCTGCCTGCTGTGCAAGCGCAAGGACCCCAGTTCAATCCCCGGTACCAAAAAAAAAAAAGATTACCCGTGCAGCTGGGAAGTCAGGTAGGGTTTGTCCTTGCCTGAAGCTGAGGCAGAAGGATTGCAAGTTTAAGCTCAGCTTAGGCAATTTAGCAATTTAACGAGACCCTCCCTGTCTCAAAATAGAAAATAGGAAGTAGTGCAGGTAGCACTGGGTTCCATCCTGAGCGCTGCTATCAAAAAAAAAAAGGTTACCCAGAACTTTCTACATACCAAGTACCATGCCAAGAGCTCAGTGTAGCATTATCTCAATTAATCTTCAAAATAACCTTAAAGGGTGTCCCACTTAAGTTATATTTTTCTTTTTAAGTTTTCTCCAAAGTATATACTTGTTCTACAGAAGCAATGCAGCCAGGCATGGTGGTACACACCTGTAATCCCAGTACTGGGAAGGCTGAGGCAGGAGGACCACCATGAGTTCTAGGCCACCTTGGGTTACATAGTGAGTTCAAGGCCAGCCTGAACTTCCTAGCTAGACCCTGTCTCAAAAGAAATTATGATTTTCTTTTCAAACCCATTATTTCCAACTGAGAAAGCTGATCCTAACATCTTTTTTCATGTTCATAAATCTACCGCTATTATAAAAATGCCCTTATACTGATACATGTGGATTAATTTATAATTTGCTTTTGTTAATTAACAGTATTTCACGAATATACCTTTGGTCAATAGATATAGCTCTAATTCATTGCTTGTTTGTTTTGGTTTTGTTTTGTTTTTTGGTACATGCTTGCAAGGCAGGCAGTAGGACAGAGCTAAATCCCCAGCCTAAACTCATTGTTTTAATAGCTACACAACATTCCATTTTATGGCTGATCCATAATTTAATCACTGTGACCTTTTTGATGGGTATTTGGGTTGGGTTCAGTCTTTCCTATCACATATAACATCATAATCAATACCCTTGTGTCAATATCCCTGCAAACAGGTACTTTTCCTTCTCTGGAATATATTCCCCAAAGTGGGATAAGTGGATCAATGTTAGACATATTTTTTAATCTATAAGATTGCTTTTTCAAAAGATGGTGGCAACTTTATGTATGAGAGTCTAGTTCCTTGCATCTTCACTAGCACTGTTTAACACTTTTTAATTTTTGCCAATCTGATAGGTTACAAAAAAAAGGGTGTCTGTTATTTTAATTTGTATTTCTCAGAGTTTGAAAATCATCTTTATTTTTGAAATATTTTTTTCTGTAATGGGGATTGAATGCAGAGGACACTGAACTATGCCCCTAACATACCACCCTCTTTTTTTTTTAATTTTTGAGACAGCTCTCACTAAATTGCCCAGGGTAGCTTCAAATACACAATCTTCTGGCCTCCTCCAGAGAAGACGGGATGACAGGCATGTCTTATCATGCCTGGTCAGTTTACTGGAAATGTAAAGTTTCTCTCTGTGCACTACTTGTTTGTATTCTTTGCCCTCCTTTTTCTACTGAATTGTATTTCTTCTTATTAATTTGTAAGGGCTTCCTGGTGGCACAGAGTCTTGCTATGTAATTCAGCCTGGCCTTGAACTCACTATGTAGCCCAGGCTGGCCTCCAACTCATGGCGATTATCCTGCCTCATCCTCCTCAGTACTGGGATTACAGGCATGAGCCACCACACCTGGCTAGAATTCACTTTTGAGAGACAGAGACCTAGGTATTTTATACTAGATGGTTTTCTAGACAGATAAACAATTTTGCTGGCACCTTTATCACATATTATTTCCATTTCTAATGGATATATTTCAAGACTCTAGATAGTTCCAGTGCTCTATATGACCAACTTGTGGGCTGGGAATGACTACTCCACAGGTGAAGGATCATGCTGAAAGAGATTAGATGCTTTGCTCAAGACTCCACAGCTGCGATCTGAATCCATGTCCCTCTGATTTTTAACTACTACACTATATTAGTTCTGTTTGGGAAGGGACAGACTATTTCCTGAAAATTACAAATCTACCTCTTCAGTTGCCTAGAGTGGAAGAAAGGCCCAGGTAAGCTGTTAGTCACAAATACCTCTCCACTCCCTCCTCCTAAACCTTTTGGCTCCTACTTACCGGAGGAGGGTATCCTTCCCCAGGGTCAGGCAGAGCTGATTGCAAGACACTACAAGACTGGTGATTCGCTCAGCAGGTGTAAAGTCGATCCGCTGCTTTGTGAAGATGGGTACTTCCTTCTCCAGCTGGGCATTCACATAGCCTGCAGGGGAAACGTGAAGAAAAAATAAACTACAGAAGGGATGGAGAGGCAACTAAAAAACCAAGAAACAACAACAACAAAAACCACCAAGAAACAGCAGTGTGCATGCCTGTAATCCCAGCACTCGGGAGGCTGAGGCAGGAGGATCGCCATAAATTCGAGCTTAAGGCCAGCCTGAACTGCACAGCAAGACACAGTCTCAAAAAAAAAAAAAAAGAAAGCAGTGGTACTACTTGCCACGTTTCTACCATATTCCTACCCCTAGGGTCTTGGTTAACAGTTTGGAATCAGGTAGTTTGCTGGTCACCTCTGAAGGAGTCTTAGACCCTTCCCACACTGCTGACTTGAGATGCTGTTACAGCATACTGTACCTCCTGCCAGTGGTAATGGGGGGAAGGAGGTCGAGTCTGGCGGGGATTTGGTCTGGGCCCAGCAATCCCAGATCAATTTAAGTATTCCAGCTCTATTTTCTCTTCTCTCTGACCATGCAGTCGTGAGACCCAGTGAGTCTTCAAAAGACTTTAAAGGTAGAGGGAGCCCTGGAGAGCCGTCCTTCACCGGTGTGAACGTACGGCAGCTGCTTTCTCTCTAAACAGTTGCTCAAAATATCCCAGGGCTCTGCCAACTCTGCTCTACCTTCTACAAAATTTCCCCTAAAATCCAGGGGACACCCAGCTGTAGCCCAGGCCAAGAATACTTCATTTCCATTTTTGGAAAGTGACAAAATCCCTTCTAGGACCACCTCTCTTTCCCCTACATTTCTCTTCCACCAGTGTCTTTCTTTTTGGTACCAGGGATTGAACTCAGGACCTCGCGCTTGCGAGGCAGGCGGCGGCAACACTGAGCCAAGTCCCCGGCCCTTCCACCAGTTTCTTTACCCATTTCCTCCCTCCCAAACGAAAGGAAGGGGTCTGGTGGGACAGCATCGAACCTATCAGGAGAACCCCGGAGTCTATTTCAGTTATCTCAAGGGCCTAACTGCAGCCCTGTAGGAAAGCACTTCCTAATCTGAGCCCCAGTTCCCTCTTCAGAAAGAACTCTAGTGTCAGGGCCTAGATCAAGCGGCTGCTCCTGGAGCGCTTTCAAACTTCGACCCTCCGCCAGCTGTGGACCAAGACAGGCTGAGGAGAGGCTTGGGTCTGGACTACACGTCCTGGATGTGACTGCGAGCTCGTGGCGCCGCCCTTCCCGTACCTCCCTCTCAGGTACTAGGAGAGCCTTACCCGAGTGGGGGATGGCCACGCTAGGGCAGCCCGGCTGCAAGACGGCCGAGCGGGACAGCGAGTCCTCGTACTCGTCCAGGATGGATGCCATGGTGCTTAGCCTCTAGGCTCTTCCTTCGGGGCCCGGGGATCACAGGAGGGCTCCCCTCAGGCCCCGTCGGCCTGATCGGAAGCTACAACTCCCCAGCCTCAGACAGACCCTGGAAACCCGCCGCCGCTTCTCTCTCGCGCCTTATAGAGCAAGAAGATCGCTGAGCCCTCTCCCGAATCGGGTGCCGTCTGGCACCCTACTCTCCCAACCCCCTAAGAGAGCACTGGATTTCTTGAGCGGATCCCAGGTGATCCTAACCTCGCCCTGGCTGCTCAGCTGACTCCCGCCCCATGACGAGCGCCTATGACGCAACTTCCGGGTCCGAAAGCGCCGAGTTAGCGGGAGCGGAAGGCTGGCTCAAACGCTGGGGGCGTGATGAGGGCTTGGTGGGGGGGTCGGGTCCTCCCTAGCTCGAGGCCTCCTGCCAGGCCCTGCGGCAGTTCCGCGCCTAGGCGCGGCCTTCTCCACCCCTTCACTGACCCGCCCTCACCATCTGTTCTGGGCTGATCCCAGGCTTCTTCGCTCAGGTGGTCTCCAAGCCTACATAAGCTGCCCGAAGGCCCTCGTCTTCCCCAGTCGAATCGCTGTCGCCGTCCATCTTCACAAGGCACAAGCAGAGCAGTCCCAGCTCCTCTCCTACCCTTGAAACCTATTGGCTTCCAGAAAGTGGCAGAGCTTGGGGGACGGGCCCTCAGGAAGCCCTGTGCCGGATACTCAGCCAGGCCCACGGTGGCCCTCGTGTGGGCGGAGGGCAAGGGCGACCCGGAAGGGCGCAGGCGCAGCGCAGCCGAGGGCTCCAGGCTGCTTTGCCCCTGCCTCTGCAGAAGGCTGGTGGAGCATGTGCTCTGGCAAGGCCTGGTGTTGCGGTGGAGTCACACAGGTGAGCTTCGCCACCCTGCCCTGGGGAGGGTCGCCAGCCAGCTGAGCAGTAGGCGATAGATCAGTGTATAGATCATTAATGCCAGGAAAATGAGTTTTTTATTAATATATTTTTAATCTTTTAAAAATCTTTATTTTT